ATTAGAGCTTGATCCTTCATAGGCAAGCAGCCTCAAATATTCACAGAGATACTTTTCCATGCCAACATTATTTTCCTTTAGATACCACTGCACAGAGTAAAAGAGTGAGGCCTGATACAAGAAGTAGCATTGGGTTGTTTTTTTGTTTTTTTTTTTGTTTTTTTGTTTTGTTTTGTTTTGTTTTTTGGTTTTTTTTTTTTCCTTTTTTTAAGAAGCCAGACATCTGGAAAACAATCCAGGATTTGCTTCAGTCCCCATCTCAAAAAAATTTTTTTTAAAAAGGCTATTTAACAATTTAGCAATATTTTAACAGAAAACAAGGCATAATTAGAAACAAGAAACAGATTCAAACTTAAATTCTATATACCTATTCATACTGGAAGAATCACTTGCTCTTTTCACAAATTAAATCAGTGAAGCAAATAAGGTCCTTAACAACTAGTTCTAGACAACTCCTATTTGGATGAATAGGATACTCGTGCTAGGCATCAGATACAAGCAGCACAACAAACTGTTTTTTTCTTCCTTTACATCTTCACACCATAGAAGAGATCAGCAGGCAACCAAGAAAACACATTTCTAGTTGAGGTGCAAGTCAGGCTGGCTGCAAGACCTCACAATACTGTTGGTGCCCAGGTAGACGTTGTCTGAAAGATGCATTCACTCAACCCCATGACCAAAACCTGTTACTTCCAATGAAGCTCCAGAACATCAAAGTACTAATCATAAAACTCTATCAAAACAACACTGTGGCAGCCTTGCATTCCAGTGACATTACCCATATTTCTCCGATTCCCATATTGCAGTACTGGCACAGTATCATTAAAGCAGCTTATCAGCACTCTGCAGTTTTTCCATAATGAATTGCAACCCATTTTCAAACACATTTTACTGTAGCTGGACTGGAGTTTTACAGTTTTGTTCCTCATATCAGGTTTGGGTTTACTAGACAAAAAAAAAAAAAGCATTCCCATCAGACTCTGAAAGGCAAAACTCAATGAGTGTGTGATTCCATATCACATGAGGATTGCTCTTGGACAGTTAGAATAGGCTAAGCTGCCTCACCATCAGATAAAAGATATTCATATTAGTGCTAACAAACATCATCAGTGAAAAGCGTAAACTGTAAGTAGTCCTAAATAACAGTTGCATGATAAATGCTTTCCTCAGTACGCCAGTAGATACAAATCCATATTATGAGCATAACCACATGAATCAGAATGAAAAAAAAAAGAAAACTTTGTGAAAGTATCTAAAAGCTCTATTATATGCCTCGGACACAAACTTCTATTATAGTTTCTCAAATTTTCACATACTTATCTATACTAAGACCTTTGTATGAGCTTGCAGACAATGTACTAGAACTGCAAGTGGGTGTAGAAGACATTAGCACATTACAGAAGTGACATAAAGTGGTCTTTGTGAGAAGCAGGCTTGCATTCCATGAAAATCAGACAGAAACCATGAGAACTTCAACACGGGTTTTACTTCAGGTTTCATTTTATGGTAACTCAGATTTGTAGATTCCCCCTCCCCCCCCCTCCCTTATAAACCTAAAGCAGGATAAATTTCTTTTCATAAATTTATATTTGAAGACAACAAACCAGTTTTGAAACAGATGAATGCAGCAAATGTGTTACAGACAGCCAACAGAGATTAGAAAGGGCAAGGGATTGTATTGTTAGAATTTAATTACAATCTGGAGTAGCTGATGGAACTCTTACATTCATTTTATGTAACAGACCCTCTTCCTAGTGTCTTTGCAATGTCTTCTACTCAAATGAATGCAAGGATAAACTTCTATTAACTGAGTCTCTTAGTTTTTCTATTCCAGTTTTGTGAATGTTTGGAAACATCAGTTTCATTTCCCACTATGATACTTTCTTAATGCCAGCAAAGTCATTCATTGACACAAACGGAAGTGAAACAGCCAACCCTGTTCATTCAGGTTCAGCTGTTGTCCTCCTGGGACCACAACATAAAATCCATGACTCCTCTGTGCATCAGGTAATCTAGAACTTGTAATTACTATTACTGCAATTTAAATACAGCTGTCTTCATCAAAGGAGAAACAGATCTGCTGCCTTAATTACAAAATACCCATGAATTTGTCCACACCCCATTCTTAGCCATTCCATTAAATTCAATTCAAAGTGTTGTACTTATTTCCTCACATAAATCAACATAAAATTATAAAAAAGAAGCCAAGTTGGAAAAGTTTTCTTTGGCAAGCTGTATTATTCTCTTTCTTCCCCCAAGCTCAAACAAGACTATTTTTAAGTGATCATACAGTCATCTTTGAAATTCCAGTTGTTTGTTTCCATCTACATTAAAACAGCTTTAATTCACATGGATCGTTGTGAAACCCAAGTGGCACACAGCCAAACTACAACATAGTGCCAAACTAGGCCAGTCATCTGCATAGAACATGCTGTCATTAAAATCAATGACTGAAGTGATGTTGTGGAATATTTTACTTGATTCTAATTAGAAATGCAAAACAATGCTGCAGTCACTGCACAGCAAGATGGGATTCAACACTCCAGGCAAGAAGCTGGTTTTTGTTGTTCTTGTTTTATTTTAACATAAAAATGAGCCACTGTAAAGAATGTTACTTATAAAAGCCTGATAATAGTCACCAAATTGATGCATGTGATGTGTGCAATTAACATGGAACAATGTTCAAAAACATTATTTACACTGCCTGGAAATTATTTCTGTAGTTGTTGCTATGCAGACTAGTTTAAATGAAGACTTCACTGCTCTTAAAGCAATGACATGCAGTTTAAACTGAACTTTTGTATTCTTACTATTTCCCTGTTTCTTGCATGCTAGTTATTATTTGGGTATTTCTGATAATTTTCAGCTTGTAATTTTCACTTTTACAAAAAGCAGAAGGCCAGCCAATAAGAGATGAAGCGTTATGATATCATTTCCGATTCCTTCATTTCAAGCCATTCTGTATGAACTGAAAGGTATAATTGTCCTCTGCCTGCAAAGACAGCTGGCATACACATGCAAATGAGGATCACAGTAATTTCCATAAGAGACAGAACTACTGTTGCATTGGACATTGGTCTCTTCACAATAACAGACTAATCTGTTGGTGAGTTTAAAAAAAAAAAAAACAACCAAAAATACTTAAATAAGAGGTAAATCAAAAACTTGTTAGGAAATGTGAAGAAGTATGTTTCTTGGAAAAAAAAGCTTGAAGTTTACTACAGAACACTCATTTTCACCATAACACCATCATTAAGAAGAGCCAAATTACCAGTGATGCAATTTAAAGTTTTGCAATTTAAGTTGTTTATAAAGCTATCAAATCTTGACAGCAAAAAAAGTGCTTTTATACACTAAAAGTCAAAAGTAGAGATCACCTCCAGTTGTAAAACTTTAGATTTGAATGTTTGTAATTAATTATATGCAAACAGGTGGAGGGGATTTAAAAACACAGAAGGGATTTAGCTCTCTTCAGAGAGGGAGCTTCCATTCACAGAGGAGATTGGATTTTTGTATATGTGCATGTGAACACCCTGAACTCCAATTTTCATGATAGAGGTTGGGGATTTCTGTTCAAGACAATTAAATGATGAAAGAATTCTTGTGATTTTAATCTGACAAAAGTTTTACCTGAATATTCCAAACTGCTGGAGTTTGCTGTTGTGAAAAGTCACTAATTCCCCTCCCTCTTGCCTCCAGGCACGTTCATTCACTAGTAATATTTTGAATGTCCAGCAGAGCATAATGCATACAGAGAAAGGGAATGCAGATAACTACATGTTATGCAATTTAAGAAATCTGCATTATAACAATTATTCTTTATGAAAAGAAATGGCTCAACAGTTCTTTGAAGTGAGATTTTAAAATCACACTAGTTTTTATTTTTGTGAAAAAGGAAGATTCTAATCCCATTTTCTCAAACATAACTGGTTATTGTACTCATGCACCTAAAACAGACCCATTCAAAATAAACCTGAACAGTGATTTACACATGCAACTGCTTTAATCTTGTAACAGATGTTTGTAGGACATCTGTATTAGTTTTACAGTTTTCCTAAGTGAAAAGGAAATGGAATATGTTGATAAAATTCCTGTGTACATACCTCATATGTGACCTCATACATACCTCTCTATTTGTAAACGCCTTAGGTTTTGTAAAGAAATTGAAGATGGGGGAAAGAAGAAAAAACAAAAACCAATAGTGTGTATATTTTCCTGCACTGTTTCATTTTTAGACTATGTCTCTATGCCTTTGTGACAAGGTGCAAGTTGCCCAACAGACAAGGTAAAAGAATGCCTTCCTGAATGAGTCCCATTATGTAGCCTCAACAACAGCTAATCAGAACTAACAAAACTTACTCTGTTTCTCTTCTCCATTTTATGCAGCCTTTTAAAGCTGCTAACATTTTTTCTCCTCTTCTTCCCTTCTGAAGGAGAAATTAGTTCTCTTCTGTAGCACTGTCCATATCTGCTTGCATGCATATTTTCTTTTTATACAAAATTGCCTCAGACTCATACCAGGTGCATCTCTCATATATATTACAATAATTTTGATATGCAGTGTAAATATCTTATGCCAAATAAGAAAACCCTAAACAAGCTCACAGATACAGAAAACTTCAGATCTGAAAGACCCATTTAAGCTTTGAGCTCGTCTGATTCAAATGGTGCAGCTCTTGGCATTTCTCAACAAGAATAATTTAAGGCACTCAGCCTTTTTCAACAGGATGTAGACAAAGAACTTAAAAAAGAGAAAAAAGAAAAACTTCAAAGAGTTACGCACTTCCTTGACTGGCACTCTGGCGGGCCTGGCTGACGCTGAATACAGAGAGGCTATTCTCATTAATAAAATGTGAATGTGTTTGTAAGATTAGGCCTTCCATTTTAAAACTGTCACTACAAGTAAAGACAACAGTACATACAAAGGACTGAATTCAAGTACTTTAAATACATTTTCAAAGACTCCAGAAAAAAAATCAATCTTAGTACACGTCACTCACCTGAAAAGACATTGGGAAATGCCTCTGTAGAAGCCTGCACCCCTGAGGACTTTCTTGAATGAGTCAAAGGCACTCTTTCTGTTTGAAATTTCTCACTAAACCCCTTATGATCCAAGTAGCCTGCAGAGCCCACCTTCTGTGTTATCTCGCTTCTGTGATTAGATACTTCATCTGTCCAGTCTGCTGAACGGCTAAATAAACCAGCCAAACTAGCAGACCTCTGCTTCTTAATAGGAACTTTTTCTTTTTTGTGGAAGGACTCTTGCCTCCTTGTAAAAAGCGGGCTCTGAGATGGGGAGGGAGAAGGTGAATGGTTGGGAGAACTCAGTTGCCTAGTTGTGGTTTTGATGTAACAAGGATTAATTAGATAGGGCTTAAAGCATCGGGAGCCAAACATCGGACTTCCGGCTGTTCCTTCAGAGGATAAAATGCCATTTTTCATTTCCATAGATAAACCATTATGCAAGTCCTCTTGACTGGCTGGTGGAACATGTTTCCCTTCCTGACTCTCAGCGGCATAATCTCGGCCTGCATCTGACGCACTATCCTCTGTTACTGAACCTTGGAAATCAACAGCCTGCACTTCAGCAATTTTAGCCTCAGAATCTGCTGCTGAGGTTGGAGGATGTGTTGTGGAGCTGCATGCCTCAGACCCATTTTCTGTCACAGTTCTATTTAAATCACCCTCTAGCTCACAAGCTACAGCATCCACTCCAGCAGTGAGCTGTTCCTCAGGCAATTGCTTACGTTCCTGTGGTTCAAATAAACCGTTACCAGGAGAGCCTGTTCCATTTACTGGTTCTTTCAGTTCACGTTCAGTTGCACAGGAAACAGGAACGTCTTCCGCAATTTCAGATACTGCTGGAAAAGCCTCCACAGCGTCAGGGCTACTCTCTTTGTCAGTGGCGGTTACTGAAAGAAACCGTTCAAAATCCAAAGGGGCTGCTTGCGAATTAGCCATGTGTCGCCCCATTGTTTTGGTGACAAGGTCCTCCGTTCCAATGTTAATTGCCCCCTGCTGCTGCTGCTGCAGTCTAATAGCTTGCTGGATATCAGAAAGCAAATCCTCTTGTTCTGTGGCTGAATGGAAACTGTATATATCTGTATCAGAGCCAGAGCTGGTCCTTTGTCCATCCTGTGCCTCTGCAGCAACTGGGACAGTTTCATTTCTGATTTCAAAATGTTCAGCATCTGTATCAGAAAGACCCCCTTCATCTGCAGAGATGCTTATATCTGGAGTTTTGGTAACGATCGAATGAGTACTGTCCAGCTCTCCGGCTGGCAAGGCCTGACTTTCCAAAACATCCTCCCTTGAACTACTATTCCCATCTTTAGCCTTGGACAGATTTTTTCTAATCCTCAAATTTGAAAACACAGAAGCTCTCGAATCCGATTTACCCTTCTTTTTACCAGATTCGCTTCCTTTTGCATGCTTCCCCAGTCCCCTTTTGCTTCCCGATACCTTCTTTGTGCCATCTGTATCCTTCGGCCCAGAGGCATCCTCTCCTCCTTCATGCACATCACCTGCATTTTTCTTTAGCTTCCCATCTTGATTCCCCATGATTTTTCGCAACGCAGCACCTTCAGTAATCAAGCCATGCTCCCAGGTTTCTCTCCTTTGGCCTGCCGGCAAGATCCCCTCTAGCAATCCAGGTTTGTTTTCAAGCGGTGGTGATGCAAGTGAAGCAAATGCTTGCTGTGCCTCTCTCCCATCTGCTAGAGCTGCCTTTTTGCATAATGTGCTGCTTGCACTGGGCTCCGCTGGGACATGCTCAGTACAGCACTGCGAGCTGCAGACAGCTCCTTCCAATGGCTGCTGCTCACAGAGCTGCCTGCTCTCTGGGCTTCTGCTGCACTCCTGTTTCTTTAGGAAGGATTCTGTGAAAAGTGTTTCCTTTATAAAAGTCACTTCTTTTTCCACGGTTTTTATTGCCTGCATTGCAAGTTCTGTGTGTCATCAAATCACTGATAATTGCTGGAGTTCAGTGCTCTCATTCCTGGAGCAGGGAAAAAAAAAATAAAGGTACTTTAATTGCTCCTTAATTGATCAAATGAATAAACTAATAAATGTGTATATATAAATATTATGATAACTCAATAACTTATAAGTTGTTTAAGTATGTGCCATTTCAGCAGATAAGGCAGCATCTCTGGTGATATATATGTTTACTTTTTAAAGGTCACTGAAACATGAAAATAAATTTTAAAAGGAGAATTATTCTGAAAGTAAATAGGATAAAAATAATAAACAGAAAGTTCTTCTTGCAGTATAAGGAGATACACTTAAAATTCAACACATTTTGGTAATCACACTATATAAAAAAAACTTCCCACAATTTATATGCTGAGAAGGTACGTATACTATTACTATCAGGAGATTCAACTCATTAATATTAAAACATATCACCATTGTTTTTCCTGATAAACACATCTGGCATGAAACAAGAAAAACAAACAAAAAAATAGCACTATTCAGTTGCAACTAAGGAAAGCATTCCTCTATATTTAATAATTGATTTGAACACTGTTGCTTCCTAACTATTTTGGAAACTTGTGCTGCAGTCCTCCTTTTCCCCCATTTTTGGCTTAGATGCATTAACATCCATACTTCATAACTACACTTCCTGAACTTTCCAGATTGGTATTCCCTTCCCATTTTTGAAATTTAGATTTAAAATACCTCCAATAGAAACAGAAGTGTAAGATACTAAATTAACAGGTTAGATCAGTTCAGTATCTTGTTCCAAAACCAGATTTGATACATATATCTAAACTGATTATCTATTAGATAAACTTTTTGTGAACAACTGTATATATTCCTTAGACTTCTGAGCTTCTTTATCAACAGTTTTCATTCCATGATGGATTTCTTAAGATAACATAATTCCAGGGAATTGCATCCTACAAGCTTGACAAATTATTATTTTTGATATCATTCTTCTCTTATCTGAGGTTTTACTTGCTTTCTTCAGTCTAAATATATTAAATAACAATAAATGTATACATATGTACATTTTACAATTTCTATATTTACATTGACATAAAACCAACAAACGAACATCAGAAGCACCACCTCCACCAGTTTTTCCTCCTTTAAGAATACCAGTTACCTTTACAAATCTGGATTGTTGTCTTTGTTAAATAACTACTGCTTATTCAGTTTGAAAAGAACAGCACTGACAATAATAAACATAAGTAAGTTGTTCTGAACCATCATAAATTTTTCCTTGTGCTTTTTATTCATTTACTGTTCTACTGTAAGCCACGTCCTGCGGTGTCTGTGGCTCAGGCATCACAAATTCCCAGTACTCGAGGACTCAAGAGTTTTAAGCAGGTCAGATGACACCGACTTTTAAATTTATTTTTAATTTATTTTTTCTTTTACTTTTCACTTAACCAGATAATTGAAAAATATTCTAGCAAAAGCTAGCATAGCAAAGCCCACAAGAACACTTTGGGGTAATTTGCTTTCTGACTCCATTCCTGCCTTTGTTTTCTGTTATCTTACTTAGCTTCTATTTTGTTAGAATATTTTATTTTTCATGGCATTGTTACACACTTGCAAAAGGGCTTCAAATCTCTGGTAATCTAGTCCATTTGAAGATGGGGGAAATAACTACCTAATGCACAGTTTGAAGGAACCACAGTAGTAGAATACTAACCTGATGTAACTGAGATTTTTCACTCATTTTCATCCTTAATCACACCTGGATTATCATAGCTTCTCAAATCCATTTAAAAACTCTTATCCTACTACAATCTGCACAAAATTAACACAGTACAGACTTAACATATAAGGGAAATTTTAGTGAGATATTGTCAAGTGATTCCCTCTCCTTTCTTCTCCATAAACACATGACCTCTAAATCATTTCCCATTACTACTGATGTTAATATTTTGGGCTTTGGTTGTTTATGTCCTTGGGAGTCTTCAACTTTCATAGAGAAACATAATACTATTAATGACAGCAGCAATCAGAACGATTTGGCGTCGGTATAAGCTACATTTGAAAAACTAAGAACATAATCAACACTTAACAGCAAAGAAAAAAAATGTGTTTCCATAAAAAGGCAAAAAAGGAGGAAAATTATGTGGGCAAAAAGGAAGCATAATTTTTAGGAATAACTGAAGTTCTTTGTAGCATGCTATAGGCTATCAGCAAGTAACTTAGACTGATCCTCAAGACTGTCTACCTCATCTAGTATTTAACATCTAGCAAAAATTATAGAATCAAGATCACAAGCATAGGCCTGAGATACTCCTGTAAAAGTTGAGAGATATTAAAAACAGACAGAGGTTTAAAACTTACAGTTCAAGGTGCATTATCCTTTCACTCTTAGATTGTTGCACATGAACACATTCCACTTAGAAAAGGAAACAGCTGCTAGAAGACAAAATTATTTTTAATAACAGAAATTTCCACCTGCTGCAGCCCCCTCCAAATGCCCACAGCACTACCCACCCTGCCTACCAGCCCTGCTCGGGCTGGTCTGTGGTAGAGAGGAAGGGAAGGGAAGGGCAGGTCAGGTCTTCTGACTGCACTGATTGCCCCCACCTGGGCACAGCACCTGGGCCCTCCTGGAGCATTGCTAAGGCAGAGTTGTTCTCCAGGATGGCAAAACTGTGGAGACCTGGGACCACAGGAGGAAATTTCCTCTGAAATTTCTCACAAAAAGTCCTGGTCATTCACAAACATCCTGGTGTTCCTGGCTCAGCAGAATCACAGTCTGGTTTAGGGAAGTAGAGAGGTGCCTAGTTGAGCTCGCGCTGGTGAGATGGAGATTACTTGGAACAAGCAGCTGCTGAAGTTGGGAGCTCTCTCCATTTTTACCATGATTTATTGGCTGTAATGTTTTATTTTACCACTTTAGCAATTGTCAAGTGAGTATTGTCATTTAAGTGCCCATGAAGTGAAGATAATAATGCCTCATCACTGCAATTGACCTACACATGGCATTGCCATAGCTGTGACTGGCAGGGCTGAGCTGTTAAAACAGGATTAGGCTTTGTGGACAAAACCCCAGGGGAAGGGAGCCACAGACCAGTCCTTCCAGGAGGCTGTGTACATATGTACATACATATGATGTCTATGTCCCTCTGCTTGCTGGGCAAACCCAGCAGCTGAGGCAGTGGGAAGCGGCAGGAGCCCAGGATAGGTGCTTTGGTGGGGTTAAGCCACAACATGCTGACCCAGGTCACAGATGTTCTAGAGAGAGATCCATCTTCTTTTCCAAGACCACAGGCAAGTACTGGGTTGCCACTGACAGTACAGAAGAGGATAGTGGTAACGGGTTGAGGATAAGACAGTCAGGATGAGAGCCATTGCTGACTGCTGCAGGGTGAACACATCATGCTCAAGTACTTCTGGCAGAACTGCAAGCAAAAAGCTGGACTTTGTTCTCCTGGCACCATGGCTCTTCCAGCCTTCTTTTATCCTGTTCTGGAAATGTTATCTTCCCAGAAGATATTAGTTACCATTACGCTCTCATACTGCCAAAATAGTGTTTCGTGCTAGTGCAGTTGAAAATAATTTCCTGCCCAGTTGTCCCCAGCTCTTTCAGCTCTAGGCAGAATCGTCTTTTACAACTTGACAAATTCAAGCTGGCTTACTTCCTCTTTCCTACTGGCAAATGCTAAAGACTGAGTCAGGAGATGTGGAAATATAATGTGGGTTATGAGACCATGGTGGCTAGAGATGAAGTTAGTTAATACTCATCTGAACAGTATGAAATCATGTCTCATGAATTGTACTTACGTTAAGTAGAAATCATTCAATTGGTTTACATATTGAAATATTCCTGGTATACAGAGCTTGAATCCAACAAGCAATGATCAAATTGAAGCATTTATCTTGCCTTGGAGGAGCTTTCATTAGGTGCATGATAAAGTGATGAGGAGGACTTTCAAATACTTTTTACAAAGTGCTCAACTTTCTCCTGCATAATATTTAAGTAGCAAGAACAAACATTGCAAATTAATGTATCTGAAGAGACAGGATCTCCAGCAGTGCAATGCTTGCCAAATATGCTGCAGTTTGCAGACTGGTTAGGAGCCGAAATCTTTTTGACACATTGAAACTCCTTTATTCCTCACATAAATGCAATAATATAATCATATATAGTGAAGCAGTGTTTTATTTATTTTATTTGAGATATGATCAGCTCAGCACAGCAAAAAACATATGCTTTTCAACAAGCTGTTTTATTATTTTCCTCTAATATTACCACAACCTAACTTCTATTTTAGTGTAAAATATAGCATAAGAGCTATACAGAACCTTCCACAGCTACTTAGAGAGGATGAGTTGGCTGAGCAGCTGCACACAAAACCCTGCCAGCATTCCAGAGATATATGTGCTGCAGGTCAGGGTCAGGTCACAGAAGCAGTCTCTGAAAATCCAGGTTTTTGCAGACACTGCATCTAGGGACTCCTGAGTATGGAGTATAAGATGCTACACTCAATTTGTAACCAAATCATAGAATCATAGCATTGCTCAACAGGGAAGTGTGAAGGTCTATTTTGTTCCCCAATCTATTGTACTCTGAGAAATGGAGGCATCTTGTAGCACAGTCCCCACTTTTCTTTGCACAGAGTTCTTTTCAGACAAATTTTATATTAAATGCAATCAGCCAGCAGTCATTTGCTCATATCTGTACTTGTTTGATAGCCTGGCCAGCTAATTCAATTTTCATGATGTATTTTATACTGTTGCATTTAGTTTCCTTTTTTGTGTAAGTTTTTACCATTTAAACCACTGTAGAATGCAGTCAAAATTCAGAGTCTAAGTTGTGGGTTTTATTTTCTAAGAGAGTAAAATTTATGCATTGTGTTTCCTCAGACCTCTCAATAGCTTTTAATCACAGTAAAAAAAGTCAACCAAGTTTTTAAGATAAAAATCATTAAATTTCTGCCAAAATCACACACACGCACAATCAATTTTTGGGTTGATCAAGAGAGATTCACATAGTTTAAGATTACTTACCATAAGCACGTATTTCATAGTGAAAAATGAGAGCAGAAGGGATTTATTGTACTAGAGGGCAGAGAAAGGAACAAAGAATATAAGTCTGTAGGAAACTGGGCCTCCTCATTTTCATTCCTTAGAGAAGAACATATTCTGTTAAATCAAGCAGAAAATTATGTATTGTCTTTCTGGTTTTGTTGGACTACTCCCAGAGTACTTAATCACAGGGTTGAAAAATGTGGACTTCGATCGTATCAGTGGACATTTTTGCCTGCAGAGAGCCCAAAATGCCATGAAACAATGGCTAATTTTGAGCCTAGTCCTTTTCTGCAGGAGGCAAGGAATTTACTTTAATACTGAGTGCTCTAATTTTATCTTTTCTACTATAAGTACTTATTAGTCTGAAGAAAAAGCTGACGAAGATAATTCTTTTCCTAGGATCCTTCTCTCTGTTCTTAAAGATTTCAGCCAGTGACTTTAAAGAAAAACAAATCTGTGAAGATTGACTTCAGCTTTTGCCCTCTTCTTTCAGATGTCCACTCCTGTTCTGCTGTAGACATATACACATATATATATGCATGTATCAAATACACTTAACAATTAGAATGTATTTTTGATAGTATTTCCATAATTAGATTTGGGACTGAGTCCAGCACAATAAGAAACAGAAAAATGACTCTTTCCTAGGCTTTGACTTACTTCATTATATCATAAGGCACATAGTACCTAACTAACAAATGTGAATGTCTCCATCTATTTACGAGTTCATAGGATGAAGATCTTTGCAGCTGGATTGACCAGAGTGTACTGAAACTAAAACTGTCAGCCAGCATCTATCATGACAAAATATAAGCACTAGAGGAACAAAAAATTCAGGAACTCTGAGAACAGTGAACAAACACTGATCTCATATGTATCACGTGGTTTTAATTCCTCTGACTCTGATCCTTTGCTGTTGTCACATGATGATCACAAAGAGTGATAAATTTTTTGCCATTTTTTTGTCTCCACTGTACTGCTCAAAGTGAAATTGTTATTGCAGTTATAACAACTCAAATTCATCCCATAAGCAGAGGGTAGGGGAAGCTATTTCAGAGAATTACATGGATAGATACAGTTTCTGACATATATTCTGCTAGGTGTTGCTGATGTACAGGGGACAGTGTTCATTTTAAGGATTGGTTGGTTGAGCTGTGGCCCCTCCTTAGTAAAATCCTTGCCCTGTATATACATTTGCAGATTTAGTTGGTCTTAACTGTGCATATAGTTCAATATTATGGAAAAAGAGACCAGGAAATTAAGGAGAATTAGTTAAACCTGATGCGAGATATTAAGGGCTATTCTTCCTGGCTTATTATGTAGAAACAAAGCTAGCTGAAACACTGCATAACCACACCCAGTTTCCTAGATTGAGTCACTTCTTCAGAAGACTAGCTCTTAGTCACTAAGTTCCCATGCAGAAGACACATGCAGACCAATATTTTGATTATCCCTTCAAGTCCTCAGAACTACATTTTGTCACTAGTGCAATTAACTTGTTCTGTATTCAAGTATATTTTTCATTTGCCTGTGCTGTTACCTGCAGCATAATAAAGCAGTCATCATGGGGGACAGTAGCAGATAATCAGCCACGGAATCACAGAGCGTCTGCCACACTACAAATCCACCCAACTACAATAGTTTCTAATTTCCAACAGACCTGACTGCCTGACTGGGCTGAAGTATTTAGGTAAGACTTATCTGCTCTAAGGTAGCTGCAGTACAATGTACACATCAACTGAGTTCAGTACGCAACTTATGTTGTATATACTGGATTAATGATCGATGATAGGCTCTCAAAGACTAATTAGCACAATAAATCCCTACTGTTTTTGTAGTTAACATGGCTTTCCTATTGTCAGCTGAATGGTTATCATAGTAAGCTGAGTTCTGATGCTGATTGTCTCTGTAAAGCTAACGCCCTATAGATGAACAGCTGGCAATCTATTTGTCTAGAGTAAGACAAAAGAATAAAGATGCTGCTGAATAACACAGATGCCCTGATAAAGGTCATGAGATACAATTAAGTTGATGATGTTTTTGTATTAAAAGGTTATGCCATACGTAGAGGCCATAAATGAACTACAGCTCTTATAGGGCTAAATGCCTAAGGCATCTACTGTGATCTAGTTAGGGATTAGAAGTCTCTCCTGTGAGCAGGAGAAAGTTAAAATTTTGCCACATTACTATACCTGATCACTGTACCTAATCACAATCTTTTTTTTATTCTCACACCTTTCCACCTCGATTCAATGTCTGCACTGTACCTAGTATTTAGTCTCATAGTAACTAGGATTTAGTAACATAGTAACCTTCTGAATTTCTTATTCTGAACAAGTCTCCTTTAACTTCATCTTCAGCACTGAATCCAATATTTTTTTTTGTTTTGTATCTCATTTTGTTGCATGATTTCTCTAAGGTCATCTGCAGACCAAGAATGTTCTTCACATGACAGGTGATTTGCTTCA